CCCCATTTAAAAACTACTTAAACTGCTGAGCATATGTGAATTTTGTACCTAGCAACGTGTCTACCCGTTTTCAAAAAGGGGAGAAATAATTAATGAAATCAATCGATTATGGCGAAGTCCTATATACTAGCAAAAAAAAATTTACCAAAAGTACTTGATGTTTAACCGCTACTTGTGTGTGTACTTATCCGCATCTCACTCGAGCAAGAATGCAACAAAATATTCTGATTGGACAAATTTTTCCGAAGCTTTTTTCTAATAGTTTTAAAAATTTCAATTTATATAGTACAAGTGTGATAGAGAGGTCCCAAGAAATTAGCAGGGTCCCTAATGCAATAACAGTGCAATGGAAATTTTGGTTTGGTGATGTAAATTAAAGCATCGAAAAGAGGCAGACTACTTAAGTTTGAAAGCATCAAATAATTAGCACAAAAGACGCAGACTACTTAAATTTGATGAAAGCATCGAATAATTAGCACAAAAGAGGCAGACTACTTAAATTTGAGACAAGTGTTTAAAAACACCAATCGGCGTCAAATTATTAATTTCATTATCGTATTTGTTCAGCTTTAAAGCCCCTCACACTAGAGCTAGACTTCACGCCGATGAGACTTAAATCCAAATCAAAAGATCAGGGACTTCAAGCCAAAATTTTGCTGAATTTTTTTTTGAAAAACGTCTGCATTTAATGGACTTTCTTTGTCATATATTGGCTTTTTCATTTTTTCTGTGAATGGAGTCTTTATTCAATGTAGCCAAAAAACTAAGTTAAAGAGGTTTTCCTTAATTATAAGTTATGCAGTGTCCAGCCAAAATCAGCTCAGAGTCGTACGCAGAAATTTTCGAGAAGGGGGGCGGTTTTTCCAAATAATTTTATAGGTTGACCAATTTGAATTTTCCGAGCTCTCACAGAGTAAAATAAGGACCCTAGTTTGCAAAAAAAATTTTGCTACGAAGGCAAACTTTTCAAGAAACAGGCCAAAAAAGGCGTTTTTAGGCACTTTTTGGAAAATATTTAACAAAAAATTGCACTTTTTTTGGCGCTTGCTCACCCCTCAAAATAAGTCATATTGGCTTCAAATGCGCCTTTGAAAAATGTTCAGGTTGTTCAGCGAAAATTGGATGTCATAAAGTTATACCAAAGGGGGTACCCTTCGAATCTCTCAGATGCGAAAGCGAATTAACGAATGCGCGAAAATAAAAATCAGCCAATTAGATTTCAGTAATCCAAAATTTGGAAAGGAAACGTGACTTCTTATTGATATTGGCCGAATCTAAAAATGGCAGAAAAACGCAAAACTTTCAAATTGTCACTTACAGCAGCTGAGTTCGAACAAATTTTATATTTAAAAGGTTTCGTTATGAAAGATGCGAAATATTGCTTCATTTAATTCATTTTATTTGAATGACAATTGATTCTTTTTAAAAATTGGCTTTCGGCTAATTTTGTTTTCGATCCTTCGCCCACGAGCTTTTGCCCATTCCGGCCTTCGCGAATGAGACGAGCCCCCCTCCCCCCTCCCTCCTCGGCACGCATCTGAGTTCAGATGAAATTGACCAAAATCTTAGAGAAAAATGCAGACAAAAATTATCCCATCTTGAAAAATCAGTCAAACTCATCCTAAGCACGGAGACATTTTATTGGTGCTAAGTCTTAACAGCTTACTAATGCCAAGTTTCTACAAAACTAATTAAACCAAAAAATAGAGCCGGATATGTTCGTTAACGTATTCTTCTTTAAAGATCAAATTATAGAAAAGCAACACAACAAAAAATTGTTTTCGCATATCATTTTAAACAAATTCATCGAAATCAATTAGTGTACATACAATATTTTAACATAAAAAACTTTGCTGAAAACAAGAGTTTAAAATGGATTATTTCCTTTCAGTTTTTCGGGGGAATTTGAGACACCTTGAACCCTCACGGTGTCTCAAAAACTTTCTTATCATGAAAACAGTTTTACCACAGAGCTAAAGCCATTATGATGGGACACTACCTTGGACGTGGTGATCCTGTCCATCCTGTAAGTATTACGACTGGCAGTTTATCACAAGAGAGATAACCTATGATTAACGTTCGGTTTTTGAATTTTTTGAATGATGAACTCAGAACACTGATTTCTTTCAAAATCATCTTTCAAAAACTCTGCTTATTATTTATAGAAAACGTCGCTTCAATCAAATTCATTTAGATCAAGGTCAATTTCAAAAAAAAAAGAATAGCACTGCACGCTTTTTGGCCACATTCGCAGTTTTAGCATGGAACGTTTGTGTTTTGATATGAAATCCATTGCTTTAAGACGGCAGCTGCTAAAAAAATTATGACGACGCTAAGGAAAAAATGCTTTAAATAATTATTTTAAGCTTTTCTGAGAATTAGTAAGTCCGAAGTCAAAAACTTGAAGTCAGTGCATCATCATGTGCTTCATTCTTAAACGCTCATATTACTCATTTTTTTAGTCACTAATTCCACTGCGAAAATGTTTAAATTAACTAATAAAATTGAATCAACATTAGTAGGCTACACTGGGCTTCAACAATTAAAAACTTGATTTCAACGAGCAAACTAACTATTTTTTTCACGTTATTTTAGTTTTCTCTGCAACTAATTAGGATTTAGGGTCGCAATTTTGACGCGTGATTGATAAAATTATTTGAAAAGAGCTGGCCGGAACGGTTTCGGACCCGTTAAATTGCCAGTATATCATGACTAGTTTTTAAAGTGTTCATGTTGTTGAAACGTCCTCGCAATTAACATAACAAAGCTGAATCATAGGCTCAAATTGGTTCTGCGGGAAGTTGATGAGCATGATTTATTCCTTATGTCGGCGAAAGTCGACAGACAAAAGCATTGCAATAGTGACTTTATCTGGCTTGAAAAACGGTCATATTTGTTTTGACGACACAGACATTCAGGTTTTTGGGAGCTTATACCAGAAAAGGTTTATGAATAATTTCGAACTGATGATCGAAACACGCCAACGAAGGACTGTTCAAGCTAGATTTTTGGCTAAATAACTGCACTGATCCATGCATAAATTTCTCATTAGCGGTTATTTTGTCTTTCTTTTTGTCCAATTTTCTTGTATAAGCTCACAAAAACCTATGTCTGGTTCGTCAACAAACATGACCGTTTTTCGATGCCAGACCAAGGCACTCTTTCAATTGTTTTGTCTGTTGATTTTCGGCGACAAAGAATAAGTGAAGCGCATCAGCTTCCCACAGAAACAGTTTGAGCCCATGAATTCAGATTTCCTATGCTGTTTACGAGGACGTTTCCACAACATGAGCACTTTAAAAACTAGTCATGATAAACTGGCGATTTAACGCCTTCAAAACAAGATTGCTCATATTTTGTTCCGGCCAACTCCTTTCAAATAGTTTCATCTATAGCGTGTCAAGTTTTCAACCCTATATCTTAATTTGTTGCATAGAAAACAAGGAAAACGTGAAGAAAAAATGTCATGTACTTGCTCGTTCAAATCAATTGTATACTTATTCGTTGTAGCCCAGTGTAATTATGGAAGTCCTTCAACTTTATTTGGGTGCTTACACTTGATTGTCATCTAATCCACGAACAATCACACTATCATTTTGTTTTAAAAAAAGCCCAAGACTCAGGTTGCAGAGAAAAACTATTTCCAAACTCTAACACGGTTCCTACAAACGCTTGAGAAAAATGGGACGCACAATTATCCATCTAAGAATTTAACAAGACCATTACCAAGGAAACAATTTCATACGCTGTACAATTTCATTCGCCGTCATAGGCTGTACATCTAGTATGATGGTCCTTTCCCTCGTGAATCAATGGTCTTAATCCTAATCATACCACCCTCCCATTTTCAGTTATTGGCATTTTTTGTCAAGCTCATTTTTAAACAATGCAAACAAAAGAAGCGGGTATCGTTTGAACCAGAGAAAGTTACAAAGGAATTATTTTTGTATTCATATAGCGCAAATCATATTTCTGGATAAAATATTCAATGACGTAGACAAGCTAACCTTTTGATAAATTAGAAGGGATTCGCAAGGTAACTAACTCGAATGACCTTCCTTTTTCTTTTAACCGTGAAGTAAATTACCATAATCAAAAGCAGTATAGACAAAAAAATATATTTCTTTTCTTGCAGTTGCAGCTCAGTCAGAACAAACTCCAAGAAATAGCACTGATGTTGACAAAATTGTTAGTTTGAGCAATGCTTTTGGAAAATTAGGAAGGTCCAACTGACGCCAAAAACTTGAACTTTAACCAGCCTAGGAAAAGAATTTGGCATTTTTGGAGCTAATTTGAAGGTTTTTAAGAGAAATGGATAAGCGGACATCTCATAATTTCCGCCATCAACCTTAATGCTAAATAAGAAATCCAACATAACGTTCACCTAATCATTTCAGCTGCTCCAATTTATATTATAGCAACAAAATTAGGAAAAAAATATTTCTGGATTGGAAATAACATGAATTTAATGAAAAAAAAGTAAATTACAAGACTTCAAGGGCAATTGGAACAAAAATTAAATGAAAGAAAATTTCAGCTTTTAGGAAAAATTACTGACGTTTCAAGCTTGCCACTGCAACTTAAGATTTTATGTAGATTAATATTCATTAGAAAAAACTGAACTCATCCATTCACTTCTACTTAAATCGGGATTATGTCATTTGTGATTCCGAAATGAAGTTGATTTGCATCAAATTAAAGATACAATTTAATGAACTTTCTACTCAGATAACCTCCAAGAGCTGAATTTTCGATGTGAAAAATACTATAATATCAATACAATTATATATCGAAACCATTTGGTGCTTCAAAGTTGCAGAAGGCGAACTCTTCCCGAGCTTAAATGAAAAAAAAATCACAATTTTAGAAGACAATTTTTGACAGTGAATTCAGCAAGGCTTATATTTGAAAAATACTCAATATTAAAAATTAGCATTTGAACCTTCTGCAACTTACGTTTTACTTTTATTTAATAAATTTTTAGTCTTTTCTGTTAGTTTCTATCTGCCCCCTCCCCCACCGCCTTGAGAGTTCATGAACAAAATCAATACAGCAGGTAGAATATACATCCAGTATTTCTGCAGGAATCCGCGGTTGTCCGGGGGGTTTGCCAGCTTTTCCCTCTGCTCTTCTTTAATTTTATCCAGGAAACTTTGAGTATCCGGCGCGGGTGATGGCGAGTGTGCTATGTAGTCGACGACTGTTGAAAACTCATCCGGAATCGGAGCTGTTGATAAAAATTGAGGGTCGCAAAATGCTCCGTCGGTCTCTAACTTAATATGCACACCTTTTACATGTCGAGTCGGAGTCAATGACACGAAAAGCTTCTCACGAAGACCCGAATGCAACAATGCACAACCTTTCGTGTAACTTTGCACAGTGTATGGTTTATTTTCGCTGCTAACACAATTCAGTCTAAATTGATATAAAGAGTTCGAATTTGCTAAATGATGCAACAATTCCGTTCTTTGAAGATTTATTTCGAAAGGCTCATAAGTGACCTTATCGATTGAAAAAGACAGCTTTGCTTTTGGTTTCCAGTTGCCAAGAAAGTGTTCTAGAATACAGGAACCATCATCAGGTTGAATTTCAGTCGCAAACGCAGCCAGAACTTCAATTAAGCAAAGGAATATGAACCGTTTTCTCATTTCAACTCTGAAATCAAACCCACTTTAAATCTCAAATCAAAGATCATCCAAACGTCCTTCCATTGCAGTGAAGGTCATTTCAATTTCAACCAAGCTAAAAGTCACTGTCTCTATTAAAAATAGATGTTCAGCGGTTCCTTGAAAGCTTCCGCGGGAAAAACCAGCGGTTCCTTGAAAGCTCAATCAATTATTTAATTTAAAGCGCGTGTGAGTTTCAATGAGCAGCAAAAGACCATTCATCCCCATTGAAGATACAGTTAATGGATTAAGTGCAAAGAAACGTAGACTTATGTCTGTAATTGCTAAATATTGCCAATGAACAGAGTATCCAACAACAAGACCCAATGACGGGACGCTATAGAAATGAAATTATCTATTAGCACAACAAATAATTCCATTAACAGATCCCCTCATTGACAAAAGCTTTCAAAATAAACCTGATTATCCAGGTTGACACAGGTTCAATTTCTTCCTCGTTCACTCTTTTAATTTCCCATGAACCTTTTCAGTTAATGTAAGCACCTATTTCAGTTTCAAACAGCATAACATCGACAGAAGAAAAAAAATACAGGAGAATTTGCGGATCAACCGTCCAAACCCCCCAGTGACCAAAAGTAAACTGTACTCCCTAACCACGTATTAGTTTAGATCCAAATTTCCTATTTTCACACCTTAACTATTTTTAAGAAAATGAAAAAGACCCCAAAACTCAAAGAGAGTCAATAGACAAATTTTACAGAGGCGAAGCAGTGCTTTGCAAACAATAGCGAGACAACAACAAAAAAGCAGATTTAGAAAGTGAAATAAGAAAAGATAGAAATAAGCCTCGAATTACTAAAACTTTGCTGTGTATGGGCTTCGAACCTGCGACCTCGAAAATTTGAGTCTCACACCCTGTGCCCTCGGCAACGAACGCTTAACAATCGGCAAACACTCATCACAAATAAAACAGCTACATATTCTAACAAATTGCGAATGCAATGCAGCAAAAGTGGCACCAAATACAAATAGACGCAATTTCGCAACTTATAATTTGGAATTTAACAAACAGAAGGCATCCGCACTAAATTAGTAATAAATTGGAAAGCATAAAACCTCATCATGTATAAATTATGCATTTTTAAAAAATTACAAGATACCTTTTATCGGTTCATTTGATTAATTTAAAATGTATCAGCTGCGTTAAGTTATTACGATTCGAATTTCACTGCTATTGCTATCAAAAAGCCGTAAAAGTGCCCCAAAATTAGCACCAATATTTGCGATTTAGTCAAGAAAAAAAAAGATTAGTCGTAGACTAACACTAACTCTCACTTAAATCCGCTTGTGTAAATACACAAAAAACCAAAAAAAAATTTTCTATTTTTTTTCAGTTGCAAACGACGGGTATCAAACTTGACAAGAATCTAAACCCAAAACCCACACGGGCTAATGACAAAAAGACGGGTCTGATCTAGCCTGTGAACTTGATAGCAAGCGAAACAAAGTTAAGGCATTTCGGCGGGTAACTGAACGATTTAGACCTTTGACCAAAAATTGTTACCCAACAAGCTTGCCTTTAAATCGAGCGATAACAAGGCTAAATGCTTTAAAAAGGTGATTCAATATCGGCTGATAATTTTCTTCTAATTGTGTTTTAACATCTATCTAAATCAACTAGCTACAGTGTTTGCTTTTAAGATTGCATTGAAATCTAGGTTAGTTTATGTTGTTTTTCAGGTGAATTTGTTGTCTAACGCCTATACTTTGGACCGTACCAACATTCTAGAAAATCATTATTTGTCGGTAACAAAAAAAAGTTGCTTTCAAGCTAATTTTTTTTTCAATCAAATCGGAGAAAAAAACAGATGTATTCTATTTAATCTCTCAAAAAATTAGAAGGCAACGTGAATAAATAAAACAAAAAAAAAACAAAGAGAAATAAAAAGCTTTTACAAGCTTGTGAATTATCGAAAACTGAACAAAATATTCTTTTTTCTTTCAAAATTGAAGTTTCAAAATGACTTAACGAAAAAAATTGGATGAGAAAAAAACTGTTCACTCTGTGAAGAACAAAACGTATACTTGCAAAAAATGAATAGTAGAAAACCCAAACAAGGTTATTGGTGTGAAACTTACGGAGCTCTAAAACTATTAAGGGCCATAACGAAAAACAAATTTAGGCTTTGTAACTATTCGTTGAAACTGAAAAAAGTGTAATCAAATGTTTTATTCCTTCAAGAAAAGCGCAAAACAGGGAGACTTTTACATGTTTTAAACTAAATTACTTTTGCTCTTTTTTGTGCGAATCTAAAATCCGACAAAAACGCCGGACGCCCATTAAACTGGACAATTTTAGTTTCAAAATCCTAAAACCAAAAGTTACTATACAAAGCAATCGCTGATAAAGCTTAGGTGCAATACAAATCAGAAGGAAATATACTGAGATCACTCAAAATAAGAGAACTTCTTATTACTAAACTCCGACCTTGCAAATTAGACAGAGTTAACGACAGAAAACCTAGCCAAACAAGAGTTGAAAAGTGTGAAAAAAAGAAGTAAAACCAAAACTTATTGGCTTCTTTTTGAAACTTTTGACTTCGAAGAAACAAAGCCTAACACGTTGAAACTCTATAAACATTTTTTTTTTCATAGAACTAGTCCAATTAAAGAAAATAGGATAAATTTGTATTTATATTATTCTATGGGGAAATTTCAAACATAGCCAATCGAAGATTGAAAAAAATAATGAAAGCAAGTAAACAGAAAAAAAAACACTGTGTTGAAAAAACAACTTTCGAATTTCGAAGAGAAAAATAGACACCCTTTAAGCTGTTTGAATTTCTAGAACAATTTATGACTGGCGCTTTTTTGATAACATGAACCCAACTTGAGAAAACTGTATCAATAGGTAAAGTTTTTATTCCGCTTGAAATATAAAATTAAATTCCACTTTCGAAACTAGAAATCGTTCACAATTTTTTGCGCTATTTTTCACGTTTGAATTTGGAGAGTGCTATTGACGTAACTTTCAGCAGATGCATTTTCATTGACCTCAAAAAGTGCAAATATACCCAAATGTAGTAAAAAATGCATGAATATGTGTGAATGCAAGTCTGTAGTTATTAGAGATTTTATGCACATCTTAAGACTTTTTTCCTGAAAAAAAAAACAAAAAAACTAGCAAGACCTATATAAGAGTCTTCACTAAGTTCGTTACTCTTAACAACCAAATCCATTTTCGAACCTTAAAATCATTCACGTTATTTCTGACCATTTCCTTTAATTTTAACCCGAGGGGGTGAACTGACTTCCTCGAAGCAAATGAAGATGAATTGAATTTCAAAAGAAAACATAATTCAAACCGCCCTAAGTACTATTTTAGCGTGATCAAATTTTGAGACATTTTCAAAAACATCACGAACTACTTAAATGTCTTCGCCGCGTTCATTGCCACTTAAAAAAGTCTTGTTCCCGATTACAGAATATAACCAACAATTGGAAAACTGTCAATGAACTCCAATTTTAGCATGCCTCGAGAAGTCCACAGTCTCAATCGCCTCGATATCAAGTATTACAGTGTTGATGAACGAAGTGAAATATCATATATTTAGTCTTGTGGCTTCCAGCAAACTTAAAAGTTTTTCGTGCTCAAATTTGGTTGTCCGCGGTTTGACTTTTGATTTAACTTTATTGGAACCAGTTCAAAACGAATATTTCTGATATACTTTGATATTTATGAGTGAAAATTATTTAGAGCTAACCAATCATGATCCATTAGTAAAATTTATGATAAATTGTAAAGCTGAAACTATGAATAGTTTCAGCCAGAGAAAATGTAATTCAGCTTAGAAATCAGTTACCTCTTTCTGTCCTCTAACTTCGCAAAATAGCAGAATATACTAGATCTATTGAGACTAGGAATTATAAGAGTAAGATTAGGATCGGTATTAAACTAAGAAGTTGCACGAATCTATCCGGCCGAAAATAAGATAGCGTGACGAACAGACGGTGTACCTGAGAAGGCCACCCCGGACCTAAACTCATAATTGCAATTAATTTGCTGCTTGGAAATGGTCTTCGCCATAATAGCCTGGTGAAATAAAAATTATGGTCCACAACAGAGATTGTGTTACTATTGGGTGGCTATATTTTACCTTGAGGGGGTTAGATGGGCTAACAATTTCGCTGGGGCCTAATGGTAGGCACATTAAGCTTTCCAACAGGCTCCGAAAGTATAAATGGGGCTTCCTGTTTCAATTTTATGAGATCAAGTTGTAATATTCAGCAACTTTATGGCGATTTTACAAACCAAGTCCTACTTTGAAGCTGATTCTATAGCAATTCGAAATATCTAGTAACTAGTAATCTAGTAAATCTTCAACTCAATCTCATGAAGCAACCAAATTCGTCAAAATACCAACGATTATACCAATCCGACGCATAATTTATAAAAACTAACATACACTTGAATTTTTTTTAGTGAATCATCAATTTTAGTTAATAGATTGACAAATAAATTAAGAGTTAAGCGATTACAATAAGCTAGTAAAGCAACCCAGCTGACTTCAAATTTTCCGCCTGGATATTTGCCAGCACTGTTTCCACAATAACCTGAAACAATATTGATATTATAAATGAATCTAAAATAGTGGAAGACTGTTGGAAAAGCATTACTGAACCCGGGTGACAGAAAAAAAAAATTGTTTAAACTTTCAAAATTTTTAGTACGAATTATATGATACAAATTCTCTTTCGAACCCAAGAATTGACACTTGTTGAACACAGAGTCCAAGCGGAGCTTCGCATCACTATGCAAGCTAGCGAATAGGCAATGAGACTGAAATAACAAAATCGAACAAAAAATTGTAAAAATAAATTCCATTTAAGAAAATAATTCGAAAAACACAGCCGACATCAAGTAGGTAGACGCCCATTGAGTTTGAAAACTTGGAAATCTTGCAATCAAAACTACATTAATGTTTTAAAAAATCAATCATTTTTCGCCTTTGAAGTGACACAAACAAAGTAACTAAGCCCATCAAACTTGAACAGAAACCATTCAGGCCGAATAAAGCTTTCAAGCAAAAAAAATGGAAAAGCAAGGATAATATACAACGTCAGTGCTACAAAATTTATAAAATACAGGAGTAATCAAAAACAATAGCATTTTAAATAAAATTTGCGCATTACCACTGGGCGAAGTGGGAAAAAGTTTCGAAGTAGCTGAAGTTCACTAATAAAGCAACCTATAACTTCATACAGATTAGTAAGAAAAATTGTTTACGGGAAAAAGTCTTAAGCGAGATGAAATTGCACTTCAAAAAACTATAGAACTGCTCAATTTCAAACAACTGGTTTAAGATGCTTTCGAATTAAAACTGTAAAGATGTAGCGTTACTCGAAATCCATCATAGTTCATAAATTCAAAATTTAACATCAAACTTGTCGTGATAACCACAATTTGGTGTATGAGAAATACAGGCCAGGAAAGCCGATAGCTTATGCTGTTTATTATTCGACGAAAAAAAGTAACCAATAGCGTGAAAAAGCTAGAGTAAAAAAGTAGCAGCAACAAGATCTAAATTATTTGAAACGATAACTGTTTCCGCCACTAGTAAAAACAGAACTACTCGTTAGACAACAATTTACTGATTGTTCTATTTGCCCTTTACTGAATATGAAGTAGCTTTTGGCAGCTTTTTTTGTCAATAAAAAAACCATTGTGTTATTGGCTGTTCGAAAATCGAACTTTAATACGGCTTCTTCATTAAAAAGTAGCGATTTGCTAGAAAATAAACTGCTAAATGAAAAAGACACGCACACCGTTTTTGAAAGAACTTCATAGTTTAAAAATTTCAAAAGCAAGACTTTTTCAAAAACAAACGCAAAAAATACTTTTTGTTCCGTACATTTGAAAAAGTGGAGGAACTTTGTATTAGGGTGTGCTTTAGTTTTTTCTTTTTCTTTTTTTAAATTTCCACGCAAAAGCAAGTACCACAAAAAATTATCGCAATAGTTCGAGTGATATGTCACATTAAAGCCCTTTCAGTCATAATCATAACATTAAAGTTTTTTCTCGGTGTCGAGAAAAACCACTTTGAAACTTTTGATATTTGGTCTACTTTCAAGCTACTAAGGTGAGGCTAAGCAGGCTTATAAAGCTTATTTATGCTTAGTTTAAGCCATGAAAACTTACTTTCACACGAGTAAAGCTAGTTTTGGAGTTGTTTAGCGACAATTTGGGAATCAAAAATTACAAAATTCAAAACTTTCTACAAAATTGAAAATTTTTTTATTTTTTTTTTTCGTTTTTCTAGTGATGTTTCTACAGCAACTGTTTTCTACTATGAATGTCGAAAATGCCCAAGTTCTTTTTTTTGTTCAAACTTCATCACACCACGCGCAAAAACTACACTACTTTGAAAAAATTTGTATTTTTTAAGACCATGGTCGGAACATGCTGTGCTACTTGTTATGATTTGAAATCAGCTCCAAAACTGATTAAAATTAAAAGATTTACTATAAATATAATGAAAGTGAGGGATCCATTCCAATACATTTCCAGCGTACCGTCCAAGCTTCCGAAGAACTGCTTTACTAATGCGAACATCCGACATTTTTAAAAAGTTAGGCAAAGATCCGATTTCTACCGTTTACTAATAAGATGCTTTTAGCCGAATTGCAAAAAAGACCACCGCAGTCGTGCCAACGTGTTGTGATTAGCGAGAACACGATAAAAACCAGATCTAAAAATAAAGAATCCTCGAATTAGCAAAAATTCATCTTAATCTGAGATTCGAACCTGCAACCTAGAGTTTAAGAGTCTCCCACACTAACCGCTAAACCACGGAAGCTTAATAGGTACCATTAACCAATCAGTCATAAATGAAGCAGAGAACAGATGCTGTGCAATTTCCAATAATACAGTAAAATTTCCAAATAAGTGAACACTTTTACTGAACACTTATTTGCTAGTTAGGTTAGAAAAAAAGAAGGTTCCTTATAACACCATGAGCAGATCGAAAGTGCAATAAGTTCGGATATTTGATAAAGCGAATGTCCCACATCGAATATTTGCCCTAAAACCATTATTGCCCAAAATTCCAATCCCTGTTGAAAAGCCAAATGCTGTTGTAATGAGTCAATGAACGCAAGGAAACAAAAAAATGACTAGTTTTTCGAAAATTTCCAATTTTCTAAGTGAAACATAGCCAACTGACAGCTGGAAAAGTGTAATGAACGCAAGTAAACAGAAAAAAAAACACTGATTTTGTTTAAAAAAATCTCATCTTTCAAAGAAAAAAATAGATGCCCTTTGAGCTCTTTGAACTTCTAGAGCAATTTACGATTGGCTCTTTTTTGATACGATTAACCCAACTTGAGAAAACTGGGTCAATAGGTAAAGTTATTATTCCGCTGGAAATCTAAAAATTAAACTCCACTTTCGAAACTAGAAATCGATTGCCTTTTTCAAGACTTCTACACTTTTGCTGTTCGATTGTGGAGTTTGCCTACCTTTTAACAGACGAATTGAACTGAACTTAAAAAATCAGAAAGCGAAGAAGTATATTTCAGACTGAACAAAATTTAAGACTTTTCCTGAAAACAAAAATCATCGCGATCTGTATAAGAGTCTGAACTACGTCCATCGACTCTTCGTAACAACAATTATACCAATTTATCTATATTTTCAATGAATCAAGCAGAACATAATTGCTACAATTTTTCTCCCTATCGATAAAAGTTTTGAAATCGATACGCGACTAAAAAGATCTATATGTGTTACGTGACACAACCTGTCGTATATTCGTGGCCACTGAGTTCCAATGCTGGGTTGGTCGGAAAAATGCAAAATGGAGCATACTTTAAAAGGCTGAACTAGTGATTGCTACCCATCCCACCCGCCTCTACATTTTACATTATCAAGGAACGTATTACCTGATATGAAAAGGACTTTCAAAACTGCTGCACTTTAAAGAGAGCTGTGAGTCTCACCTGGAAGGCCTCTGGGTCTGTTGCGTGGGTGCGGTGGAACACTATCTCTCGCACAGGTGAGCCATCTTCATTAACAGCAGTAGCCGATCTGTCCTGACTTCTGATCTGCCCCTCTATGAAGTCCATAGCCGCGGAGGGGTCTCTGTTATTCTCAGGGTAGTCCGAATAGCACACAGTTAGAGGTACATGCTTCAGTTTTTCCTAAACCCAATCAAGATAATTTTTCCATATGTTCGGTTACCAGTTTTTGTTGACTAAGTATGTGAGCTCGGTTAGATTTTTCGTGGTAGTCAGAATAAAAGGGCTAGAAAAAAACGCAGCCTACGCCATAGTCCCTCCCCAATCTAAGATAACGGTCAAAACACAATTGCAAAATTCTTTGAGGTAATCAAATTAAATCGCCGAGAAAAAATTGAGATTTTTTCAGTATTTATTTACTTTGCTTATCGAAATTTATGTGAAAAAGAAACTGATATTATTACTGAGAGGCGAGTTATATTATTACTAAGATATTATTTGTACTAAGAGACAATATTATTATTACACAGAGGCGAAGCTCGCTTCGCACACACTTGCGAGAACACAGCAAAAAGCAGCTCTTTAGAGTGCAATAATACAAAAAACATAGCCAATCGAAGATTGGAAAAGAGTAATGAACGCAAGTAAACATTAAAAAAACACTGACTTTCTTGAAAAAATCTCAACTTCCGAATTTCAAAGAAAAAAATAGATGTCCTTTAAGCTGTTTGAATTTCTAGAACAATTTATGATTGGCGCTTTTTTGATAACATGAACCCAACTTGAGAAAACAGGATCAATAAGTAAAAATTTTATTCCGCTGGGAAATCTTAAAAATAATTTCACACTTTCGAAACTAGAAATCGTTCACGTTTTTTCGCGCCATTTCCTCGTTCATATTTGGAGAGTGCTATTTACGTCACTTTCAGCAGATGAATTTCAATTGAACTCGAAAAGTGCATTATACCTAATTGCGTCAATATTTTTAGACTTTTTACTGGAAAAAAAACAAAAAAAATCAGCAAGATATATTTAAGAGTCTTCACTACGTGCATTACTTTTATAGAAATAATCGTTAAATTTAGATTGGAACCTGCGACCTAGAAAATAGGGATTTCACAACCTAATCATTAAGCTAAAAGTACCATAAGCCACTCAGTCACAAATAAAGCAGAGAACAGATGCTATGCAATTTCAAATGAAAGTGAAATTTCCAAATCAGTGAATACTTTTAATGAACTCTTCTATTTGCGAGTTTGGTTAGAAAAAAGAATCTTAATAACACAAAGCTGATCGCAAGCGTAAAAACAGTATGCATCTACGCTCGCAAATATATGTTCATCGACCTAAAATGACCGCATTCCCTCCCACAGCTAGGAAAAACTAGAGGTGGGGGAATTATGATACAGCTAGGCGATAAGGTTAACTTATTAGAACAGCTTGAGAGTGGCATTCCAGAATCCTTATCAATCCTTGTTGAAGTTAGTGGTAAACAATTTATAGTTGTGCTGGCATATGTACCCCCACGATATGACAAAGTAAAATTTGTCGATGAGCTCGATAAGGAACTAGAGCGTCTTGCTCAGTACAAAGTACCGATAATTCTAACGGGCGATATCAACATCGATACACTACAGAAAAATAAGTTACAGCAATCATATCTGAACACAATAACAGCAAATGGGTTCGAACTTTTGAGTAAATCTGCAACTCGAATTAGTGACACATCTGAAACTTGTACAGACCATTTTCTGATCATTATCCTATAATATTGAAATTTAATTTTGGCTTTAAAGGTGATTTATCAAGTTATTCATATCGTGAAATTGTCGTTCTTAACAAAAGAAAATAAAATGAAGAATTTTTTGTTAAGTTTGAAACAAAACTTAGAAGATGCAAACCTGATCAACGATAATAACATAGACCTTACATACAAAAAGTTCAATCACAGCTTAAGGAAATCTCTAAATCTTTTTGCACCATTACGTAATATGATACACAAAAACAAAATTAATGCTCCTTGGTTCGCTAAAGGCTTGAAGAATTCGTTTATAAAAAGAAATCGCTTATACAAATTGTGGAAGTCAGACAAATTGAATTCTCTGAAAAAAGTTAACTTTCTTAACCAACGTCAAAAAGTCTAAAAACTTATAAGAGTCGCAAAAAAAAAATCATTACTATCAAAAATTTAATAAATGTATTGGAGACTCGAGACAAGTATTTAAAGTTTTAAATGAAATAAATGGCAAGACCGCAAAATCATCAAAAATTTCAGCTCTCTTAATCAATAACAATAAATTATCTGACCCCGTTCTAATGTCTAACGCTTTTAATGATTATTTCGCTTCAGTAGGAACCAAGTTAGCAAGCAAAATTGACCACGTGGGGCCAGTGATTAAAATAGAAGACGTAAGCCAATCTATGTATCTCTTTAATTGTACAGTTTGTGAGATAATTGATGTGATAGAGCATCTGAAGCCCGAGCATACTTGTGGCATCGATGAAATTAGTAACCTTTTTTTAGTTAAAAGCAGGTATGTGTTAGCACCTTATTTAACATATTTAACTAATCTCTCATTTTGCTCCGGTATGTTTCCTCAAAGCCTCAAGTATGCTCGGGTTTTACCACTTCATAAAGCTGATAGCAGAATAATTATGAGCAATTACCGTCCAATATCACTTCTAAGTAGCTGCAGCAAAGTTATTGAGTAAATCTGCAACTCGAATTAGTGACACATCTGAAACTTGTACAGACCATTTTCTGATCATTATCCTATAATATTGAAATTTAATTTTGGCTTTAAAGGTGATTTATCAAGTTATTCATATCGTGAAATTGTCGTTCTTAACAAAAGAAAATAAAATGAAGAATTTTTTGTTAAGTTTGAAACAAAACTTAGAAGATGCAAACCTGATCAACGATAATAACATAGACCTTACATACAAAAAGTTCAATCACAGCTTAAGGAAATCTCTAAATCTTTTTGCACCATTACGTAATATGATACACAAAAACAAAATTAATGCTCCTTGGTTCGCTAAAGGCTTGAAGAATTCGTTTATAAAAAGAAATCGCTTATACAAATTGTGGAAGTCAGACAAATTGAATTCTCTGAAAAAAGTTAACTTTCTTAACCAACGTCAAAAAGTCTAAAAACTTATAAGAGTCGCAAAAAAAAAATCATTACTATCAAAAATTTAATAAATGTATTGGAGACTCGAGACAAGTATTTAAAGTTTTAAATGAAATAAATGGCAAGACCGCAAAATCATCAAAAATTTCAGCTCTCTTAATCAATAACAATAAATTATCTGACCCCGTTCTAATGTCTAACGCTTTTAATGATTATTTCGCTTCAGTAGGAACCAAGTTAGCAAGCAAAATTGACCACGTGGGGCCAGTGATTAAAATAGAAGACGTAAGCCAATCTATGTATCTCTTTAATTGTACAGTTTGTGAGATAATTGATGTGATAGAGCATCTGAAGCCCGAGCATACTTGTGGCATCGATGAAATTAGTAACCTTTTTTTAGTTAAAAGCAGGTATGTGTTAGCACCTTATTTAACATATTTAACTAATCTCTCATTTTGCTCCGGTATGTTTCCTCAAAGCCTCAAGTATGCTCGGGTTTTACCACTTCATAAAGCTGATAGCAGAATAATTATGAGCAATTACCGTCCAATATCACTTCTAAGTAGCTGCAGCAAAGTTATTGAAAAAATCATGCACTCTCGATTGTACAACTATCTTGAAAAGTTCGAATTACTGTATCATCGTCAGTTTGGGTTCAGAAAGAAGTTTGCCACAGTTGATGCATTAGCTGAATTGACTGAAAGATTAAGACTAGGTGTTGATAGAAACATTAAATGTAGCTTCTTCATTGATTTAAAAAAGGCATTTGATACGCGGGACCATAAAATTCTTTTGAGGAAATTAGAATGCTATGGAGTACGTGAAAATTGCTACAAATGGTTCGAAAGCTATCTATCCAATAGGTATCAATGTTTACATGTAAACAACTGTTCTTCTGATTGGTTGCAAGTGAACACGGGAATACCGCAAGGCTCTGTTTTAGGCCCTCTTGTTTCTTGTTTATATTAACGACATACAGCACGCAGTTTGCAATTCAAATGTGTTTCTATTTGCAGATGATACAAACATATCATGTCAAACATCTATCTATGAAGAATACCAGTTAGATTTGACCAAATTTTCTTCCTGGCTTTGCTCAAATAAATTAACCTTAAACTCAGATAAAACTACTTTAATTAATTTTACTAAGGATAGAAGTGCTTCCAATCTTTCTTTCTTTTGATATACTTGATTTTACTTTTCAGCCGAAACCTTTTTGCAAATACCTAGGTGTCATTGTAGATGATAAGCTTAAATTTTTTCACCATATACAGAATGTTCAATCAAAACTAGGTCGTCACTGTGGTGTAATATCAAAAATGAGACATTATGTACCAAGATCCATCCTACTGAAATACTATATGTCGAATATCAAGCCAATAATACAATATGGCTTGCTCGTCTACGGCGGCACGCGTTTTTCTTTTTTAAACCCAATTTTGAATATGCAACGAAAAATTGTTCGCATGATCTGCTTCAAAAGGAAATTTGATACCATTACTAAATTCTTTTCTGATAATAAAATACTGACAGTTCATGAGCTATATGTGTACGATTTGACGAGGTTTTGCTTACGATCACTAAATCAAGAACATCCAACTTGTTTTCTCAATTCTTTCTTTACTTTTAAAAAATTTTGCCTATAATACGCGAATTTCAGAAGGTCGAACATTTGTTCCATGATTCTGTAAGAATAAGGTAAAATCATGTTCTTTGACTAATAGGGGTTCAAAGTTATTGAATATTATGAGTATAAATAAGCTCTTACCTGAAAATATTGGATTGATGTCAAAAATTGAAGAATACAGTTTCGTCCATAAGTTTAAAGATAATTTCATTTGTGGCAATTACGAGTTGGTGCAAAACATATTTCTTTGAATTTTTTTTTACTTTTAAAAAATTGTACCCGCTGGCTAAATGCTATCAAACAACCATTCTAGGGTTGCGATTCTATGCTGAAAATATGACCCTCCAAATCCTTGTAGTTTTGGAGAAATCGCATTTTTTAGAAAATTTTCAAAAAATGAAAAAAAATTTTTTTTATATATGTTTTCTCATAATCTTAAATCGTCAGATGGAATATGAATTGGCCGAAATGACAGTACTAGATGTAATAACTATTCCTTAATGGGAGCTTAATATTAGGGAAAAATAAATTTTTCCCCACAATCCTATTTTTATTCGAATATAAATTTATCTTTATTACTTAGTTGCAATCCTAATTTGTTCAACGGGTAGACGTCAAGTAGGCACATACTGCGCCTTTGGTCTATTCCCTCCACTTTGTTGATTTAATTATTTAAATAAATTGATGCTTGTATTATCAACTATATGGAGAAATAAATTCTTCTTCTTCTTCTACAGCTCATACCTTGTGAAAACAAACAGGCTATTGCCAACTTACAATGAAAATATCGGTTTTGTTCAGGAACACGATGACATTCTTGTTTCTGAACTCGTCTTTGTTGATGACTGAGTTGAACACTTGTGTATTCTCAATCATCCTGTTCCTCTTTCTCTCTGGCAGCATCTCAAGCACATCTAAGTTGTAGTCGCTTAGAGAGAAGATGTACAAGATGGAGGTCGTCTCAACCCCACTCATCACACGACTCCAGTACTTTCTCTCGTATCTGAATACACACAAAGCCTTTTTCACCATATTAGAACAGATGTCGTGGTCTAGATGCACGCTTGGTTTACTCCTCATTTTATCAAACGAACATTACCATTAGATACCGATATCTTATGCTAGACACATAAACATCATTGCAGAAAATTGCAACACGGTAGCTTCGGATAAACGATGATAGTAGCCTACGATTAAATGCAGAACAAATTATATGTTAGGTAAATTAGCAATTATTTAGAACAGAAGCGATAACTTTCCTCCGACTATTTTCGGTTCGTTTCGCAAGATCAAACGTGTCCGTTTTATGAAGATTCCCCACAAAAAAATATTACAAAAGTACATATTGCTTAGGATTAAGCCAAAAAATAAAACGTTGAGATATTGCCAACAATCTTGTCTCTTTTTCCTGTCCACATTTCAAAGCACTAATGCTAACTAATAGACAGTGGAACTCATTGTATTGTATCTCCTACCTTTGCCCTCCGACATCTGTGATTTGGAAAATGACCTTATCCCTTGCCAGCTTCGCATCTATCTTCACATCCACAATTCCAGAAGTTTGTTTACGTGCTTTCAACACATCTTCATCAGTTGGGTTGTAATTCGGCGACTTAACATCGTCAATTCGACTCATAAAGTACTGTGCCGAGTCTAGCATGTAGAACTCGGATTTGCGATCTAGTGTTGCGACTATTGAGGCATTTTGCCAGATGGTTTTGATCTCCTGGGCGATTCTCGGATACAGTTCGGCTGCCTTGTCTTCGTCTTCGCTTCTAGGAGGTGTGTGCACGTTGCATCGCGATGGAGATAAAAACTCTGTTTTGTCTCTGAATCTGTTCTCTGAAACAAGACAACTCTTATTTGCCCAATTCTAGCAGCACAAATTGCGCAAGCTTAATCTGCAGCAAACTAAAACTTTGGATATTAAAATGTTTATATTGATTTAATTGTTTTAAGCTTCAAATTTCATAACTCTTCAGATTGCTTTTGATAAATGAATCTATTGATCAAATATTGAGCAATTTTAGCAAGGACGTGAACATAGCAGGCAGACCCAATATCACCAAAAAGTCTGAAAACTTAATCCACTATCTTAAAGCAATTCAACTTCACCCTGGAACAATTAATTGAGAATAGAGCTTCAAAAGATGAGAAACTTCGAACTTCAAAAATCGAACAAGGAGCGAGAATAAATTACAAGATTTTCCTCCAGAAAATACGATCTGAAGCAGTAAAATTCACTTTATTTCCTAATGTTTTCATCTCTTTAGTATTAATATACCTAAAGCTGGATCATCTGACGAGTATCCAAAAGCATCTCTGGCATCCAACAATTGCCACGTGGCCATGATCAAGTTCAACTTAGCCACTTTTGCACATATTTTTCGCTGCTCTTCAAACGCCGCTCTATTATATTTACGCTCCATCTGAAACAAAGGCTAATGGTTATTGATTTGTAGCCCACTCCAGGATGAAAATTGTCGATTTTGTTTTGGGTCGACCTATTTGATTTTCCGAGCTCACCTAAAACACTGAAAAGCCCTTAATTTTCAAAATATTCTCACTGGTGAATTTTTGATAGAAAACAAATTTCGTTTGATCAAAACTTCGCGTTTCTTACGCAAACTCTCCTACGCGCTTTTATAAAAGTTTAACTACTTGTCAGGTAGAAACCTGTGTCAACAAATATGTCCCTTTTTGCGAGGAGGGGGCAATTTCCTGCAATAGAGAACTCGTCATAAAAAAAACTCTGGCCCTTCGAATCTTCTCCATTTTAAACTGGGACCTCCAGTGGAACAACAGCCAAAACACAAGCTGGATAAAGCAATACCAATATTTTATATGCATTAAAGCACATCAAAAATATTGTCAGAGTTGAACATTCTAAGTTTCAGCGCTAAAATTACACATCGTATTCGTCGTTCCACTACTAGCTCTACAGCTTATAATATTGAAAAAACGAGCTCTTTAAGCGACTTGAAACCTTAAGAACAAAAATGGCACTCTAAAGGAGTGCAACGCTGATAGAAACTTTAATATAATTTTTTGTCTCTGGTAGCTAGCTTTCTTGGCGTGTCTGGTTACGCTTTGAGCTAACCTCTGAAACGCTTTCGTTGCTGTTGCTACCACGCTACCAGTACACGCGAACGCTTACTGAAGATAATATCTATAAATTTCGGTTGATGTTTCGAATTTGATAGATCAATGGTTCTTTCAAGGCGCCTTTGAGCATGCTATGCGTTTTGCTCTGATAGTTGAACATCTTCGTCGGAAAAAATCAACTGAATCTCGCGTCAAAAACACTTTGCATCAAACGCATTCCAAGCTAAATAAAACTATCACTCAAAGATTAACAGGTTACTATAAGGCAGGGTCGGTCCAGAACTTTCGCGAGAACGAAGACGGCAAACTTTTCAAAATTTTAGGTCGACCAAGATGATTTTTCGAGCTCTACCGAAAAAATTTCAGACATTTTTGCCAAGAATATTCATGAAGTCGAAATTTTGAGAAAAGAAAAAGACGCCGCCTTCAGCACATCTTGAAAAATGTCGACCAAAAAATCGTGTTTAGTTCTTCTAACGTTTTCATTTGCTAAATAGACCGTTTTCCCCGCGTTTTCTGGGCAAGCACTCCCCTCAAAATTAAGTATATTGACACCGATGCCACCTTTAGAAACAATTTAGGGCTAATCGATCGAAACTGGATGTCGTAAGGTAGAGCCCTGTTTCGCCATATAATTTAAGCCATTATCATATAATTACCCCTTATATTAATTTAATTTAATTACCTGTTTGAGCACAGTAGACTTCCCGCATTCCGCTGTTCCCAATAGCAGGATCGAAATCGTCCTTCGCATTCTCTCCTCCTGATCTTTAATTCCTCTGTCAATATCATTTTCTCTACCCAAACAAGGAAACAAATCTCGAAGGCACATTTTGGTCAATATAATTTATATTCAACTTTGATTTATTTCAGCAAATTGAACATAAAACTTCACATCGAATCGGTATTAAGGTCTAGAAATGAATTGTTAGTTCTGAGCTAACAACCCAATGTATTAAACCCAGCGACATGCATTTCGACCATTCAAGCCGTCATACATCTTTACATACGATTTTCGACACGATCAAACAGACGTTCGGTGACATCGTATTGACCGAAAGCTCTTTCTTTCAACTCATGTCTACTCAGATTTTAGAATAATACCAGACGATCGTTTAATTGAAACCTAATTTGCTTGCCTAAGCTAGGACAAGTAACTAGCTCATCCATGAAAACTTTACTTAAAATACAAATTATGGAAAAATTTACATGCCCCAAAAATTGAAATTAATCATTCCCTGAAAACAACCATTTTCAAAAAATTGCTAATTGTGAAAAACAATCCAATTTAACTTGGCCTAAGAACCAGTCATAAAACTTTATACCAGCGATACACCGGATATTGTGCAGCTCGAACGGAATATCCCGATCTTCAGTTCGCGCCGAGCATTCTGTTCGCATTTGAGCCGGAAACAAAATTATAAAAAATTATAAGATTAACATCTTTGAGGGGCCGAAAAATCCCCCTGAAACTACAATGAACAACACTTGCAGCTATCATGAAAATTGCTTACAGCACAAGAAAAAACCGCGATGCAGCAAAGTCAGCCGACAAAACTTGAGCAGGCAAATGAAAATCCAACCATTAAAACGAATTCAAATTCATACATATTGAAAAAACAAGGATACCCGGTTACTGAACAAGTAGCACAGAATGTTTAAGCCATGGTCTTAAAAACACAAACAAAGTTTTCATTCCAAATTAGTATCAATCTTTCTGCGTGGTCTAATAAAAGAATCTGAACGAAAAATTGAAACTCAGGAATATTTGATAGACATTGTAAACTAGGCAAACTGGACAACAGTTTTTGCAGGAAAAAAACTAAAAAAACCCAAATCAAGAAGAAATTTTCGCAGGCATTTATTGAATTTGAAGTTTTTAACTCCCAAATGGCACTAAAAAACTCCAAAAACAACTAAGTTTTTACGGCCTAAATTAAGCATCAATAAGCTATTGTAAGACTGCTCCCTCGCAATATTCGCTCGAATTTAGACTTCAAATCAAAAAGTTTAAACCTGTTTGGCTGGGACTATTTCTTGCAACCTTTTTAATGTCGTTCTGTTCAAGACTGAGAGGGCTATAATATATACTAGCAAGCCGGCCTCCAGTAATCAATTGACTCGAAAAAAAATTGTTTTGATCAAGCTATCTAAGCAAAGAAAATTTGAACAATTTCAAGATGAGCATATCGTAAATCGGTTTGAAAAAATTTTAGGTTTCGTAGAACGAATCGGTTCCCAAAAAATTGATGTTTTTCTAAGCAAGCTATTCAAGCTGCATTTTTGAATTAATTCAAAATGTTTCATGAAGCAAATCGGAAGGCGAAAATTTAGGTTTTTCTTGGAACTCATTTCAAGCGATGAAACATTGAATTATTTAAAGTTGTTTCATAGCGCGAATAGAATTGCGAAAAAAGTGAAGTTTTTCTAGGCAAGCTACTAAAGCACGGAAACTTAAAAAAAATTCACAATGCTCGTTGAGCGAATCAGTTAGCGAAAAGTAAAATTTTTTCTTAGTAAGCTATTCAAGCGATGAAACTTTGAAATATTTCGCAAAAGATTCAAATTTTTCTAATCAAACTATTAGAGCTATGGGACTTGGAACTATTTCAAAGTTTTTCATTGAATGAACGCTGGCTATTAATATTATGCTTTGAAACGTTTTAGAACAAATTGGTTCACGAAAAGCTAATCTTTTTTCTAAAGCAAGCTATTCAAGCTATACACCTTTGAAACCAACTACAGCGAATCGGATAGCGAAAAAATGAAATTTATTTTGAAGCCACTAAAAACCATAGAAACTTTGGTTTTTTGATATTAGTTCATAAACTTAACTGGATAGGAACCATTTCAAGATTTTCTACTGAAGCCAATCATCTGATGGAGTTTTTAACCATTTCAAGATATTTGCCAGATCAAAGTGATTAGCAAAAGAAAACAAGTTTTGGTATGCTAGCTACTTGACCTAAGCTTTGATACGCGTCACCTTAATTGATAACCGGTTCTTGAAAAGCCTATGTTGTTCTTGAGCAAGCTATTCGAGTTGGGGACGTTTGAATTACTTCAAAATTTTTTATGGACCGCATCAGTTCGCGAAATGTTGAAGTTTTTCTGAGCAAGCATTTTAAGTCAGAAAACTATGAACTTATTCATATCGTTTATGGGATCGAATCTTTTGCAAAATAGTTTTATATGCTATTCAATTTCAAATCGTTGCATGAAGCCAATCTGATGGCCACAAAGTTAAGTATTTCTAAGCAAGCTAGTTAAGTTATAAAACTTCAGAATATTTCAAGTTATTTCATGAAGTTGAAAGAGAAAAAAGAGCTAGCAAAAACGATAGCATGCTCACAGTTTTTTCAGCAGGCTATTCAAGCTATTTAATTTAGAAGTTTCCAAAAAATTTGGTTGATCGAATCGGTTCGCAAAAAAAATTAGATTTTTCTTCGCAAGTTTTTTTAGGTGAAAAATTCAAAATAATTCAAGTTAGTTTGTATCCCGAATCAGATTGCGAAAAGCTTAAAAATTTCTAAGCAAGCTTTTGAAGCTATGAAACTTCGAATTATTTCAAATCAAATTATTTCAAGCTATATAACTTTGCATTACTTCAAGTTATTTTGTTGACCAAATCGGTTCACGACAAGTTAAATTTTTCCTGGCAACCTTTTAGAGCTATGGAACTTTGAACTATTTCAAATTAATTTATAAACTGAATTGGTTCAGGAAAAGAGTTAATTTTTTAGAGCAAGCTTTTAAAGCTATGATGTTTGGAATTATTTCATTGTTGTTTCATAGACCGAACTGTTTTGCGAAAAGTTAAAATTTAAATAAGCGAGCTATTAAAGCTCTGAAAACTTTAAATAATTAAAATTATTTTGCAAGAAGCTTGCTTACAAAATGTTTGCGAAAACTTTGCTTCAAAATTTTACGCTTTTCGAAAAACGATTTGGTCTTTGAGATAACTTGAAATATTTCAACGCTTTTCTAAGCACACGATTCATGCACTGAAACTTTTGAATTTCTCAAGTTTTATCAAGGGGCAAATCGGTTGAGGCAATGAAACTTTGAATTATCTCAAGTTTTCACCGGCGAAACGTGTATATTTTTCTCAGCAAGCTATGCAAGTGATGAATCTTTGTAAAATTTCAAAACAATTCATAGTGCAAATCGGTTTGCAAACAGCTAGTTTTTCCAGCAAGGAGGTTCCTGTTTTTAGTTGGTTCAATTCAGAATGAAACAATCTACGAACGCAACTTTCGGAAAAAAGGACAGGCACTGTCTAGCCTTGAAAATGAATTATGTTCATCTTGTCTACAGAATTGAATTTTTGTCGAAAACAATTCTAGAATATTCCAGACTTAAGAAAAATTGGAAGTTCTAGAACATTCATGGCCTTCTCTTAAACGTTAAGCCTCAAGAATTTTTTAAACGTTGCATTCCACAAAGCTAAAACATTGCGTTCAATTAAACTTAGTGTCCATAGCGCATTCGGATTTACATTTATTATATAAGATCACTCGACTCATTACGATGATAAATTGCGGTATTTGATTTTGGGTGGGAAAAAAAGAAAAAATGAAAAACCCAGATACAAAGTTCCTGCACGTTTTTCAAACGGTCGGAACAGCAAGGAAATTGCAATGAAATACTTTTTTGTGAATATCAGTAACGGTGTTGAATGTGAAATTGTGATAATTAGTTTCATTGTGCCCTTCGGTCATTTTAGGAAGTTTGGACCTGTCATGCTCAGTTTTCACGCGGTGACTGAAATCAGAACCGGCAAGCTGAAAACACGCTTGAAAAACACGAAACTTATAAAAACCAGTTGAAAGTTATGAATTCACTTGAATTTTTTTTTAATTACAAATTTGCGTTACTGGAGTCAACTCCAGTGTTTTGATCAAGATGCCGTGAGAATCTTAATGTATTTAATAGGGCGTATTTTATCTGATTAAAATAAGTCTTAACTTAATAGTCAGAACAAAACTGGAGAGCCGTTGTGTGAGCGGCAACTAAAGCCTTTGAAAATTGAGTGAAACAGACACCGTGTCATAGGGTAATGGATAAAACTGAAAAATACCTAGAAGCAACGCTTTTTTGCAGTTTCATTCGATAATAGGGTGAGTTTTGTATCATGAAAAAAATAGAATACAAACTACCAGAAGTTTAGAGTCAAACCAATTCAAGGTAATGAATGACACTGATGATTCCGCGCTGTTAAATATTGAGAAAACATTAACAAAGGGATGTGCGTGGCGGTCATAATGAAGGAAAGTTTCCTTTTGGATATTTTAAATTTCGTATAGAACCATTTTTTTTTCACCATTTTTGCCTGATTTTCACGCCACAACTGAAAATCAGTAAGAAGAGAACAAGAAAAAAAGGACACAACAGCCGTTCTGAAAATGCGGGAAAGTCGTATAACAAAATCATTCTTGATCAATTGCTGATTGCAATTAAGGCGGGTATTCAGATGTACCAAAAACGCGAAAACAGTCGCTTTGAACCAATCGCCCGGAAGTACATACCGACGGAAAATAAAGAAGGGTCTTTAAACGAGTGGCTAGCATCTAAACACAGCTTCACATGCTTTTAAGCGTCTCTACCAAAGCCAGTTCAATGTGTGGTCCATTAACATCGGGTCGACAAAATCATTACTAATCAAGGCTATCGGCCAAACCGCGCAGATTTACTTAATTATATGAAAAAATAGTGGACTCATGGCTGGGTCTCAGTATCCCCAGACCACGAGGTCCCTTATAATAAACAGGGCTATTACTTATTATCATCTTATTATTGTTTTTGTTCAGTAGAGGAAAATCATCATATCCATCGGAGATGGATTAACCCTTTCACTCAACTCCTAGCTTCTCATTATCTGAAAACGAACTTGATGTTAAATAATTCAATTCAGGACATTTCGGGAAGCTAAAAGTGGTTTTAACTCAGTATTTTAACTAAAAGTTGTTCTTAACTCAGTAGGTCTGGCCATGGCTCGGATCTAAGGTCTTAGGGTGAATATGCAAACACACGTTTTCGCACATTTTTGTGCATCTTCAGGTTTTAAAATTCTTAACTATCTGTACAAAGTGATCAAAGATCATAAAAAGTGTCAAACACATCATTCTTTCAAAATTTAAAAAATTCAACCAATCACAACTTTACAAATATTACTGAAATTATGTAACAACTATTATGTAACAATTTTAAACATTCAGTCATGTACACGTTAACTCTAGGCCAAGTGGTAACGAACCTAGAGAGATTTAAAATTAAATAAAGCAGATAACAAAAAAAAACATCTGAAATTGCAATGAAATACTTATTTGTAAAATACCAGTAAAGGTGTTGAATGTGAAATTGTGATAATTGGTCTCATTGTGCCCTTCGGTCATTTTATGAAATTTGGAACTGTCATGCTCAGTTTTTACGAGGTGACTGAACATCAGAACAACCAGCCATTCAGTTGCTGAAAAACACGATCTTGAGACCAGTTGCAATTCACAATTGTTCGACATAATTTACTTGCTCGATTAGAAATGTGTTTAATCCTGACAGAGAAATCCGAAAAAGCCAAAGAAAAGGGCAAAAGTTCCAAGTTCAAGTGAATTTTATCCTTATCGATTGATAAGGTGTCCCAATGAACCAACCTGACGCTCCTAAATCTTCTACAAAATTATAAAAACCAGTTGAAAGTTATTAAGTCACTTGAATTTTGTTTAAATTACATAGTTGCGTTTTTGGAGTTAACTCCGGAGTTGTGATTAAGATGCCGTGAGAATCTTAAAGTGTTTAATAGGGCGTATTTTATCTGATTAAAATACGTCTCAACTTAAAAGTCAGAACATAACTGGAGAGTCGCTGTTGAGATCAAAGCGGCAAATAAAGCCTTTGAAAATTCAGTGAAACAGACACCATGTCACAGAAAAATGCCGAGAAACAACGCTTTTTTGCAGTACCATTTGATAATAGGGTGAGTTTTGTTTCATGAAAAGAAACTGAAAAATGCCGAGAAACAACGCTTTTTTGCAGTACCATTTGATAATAGGGTGAGTTTTGTTTCATGAAAAGAAAATAGAAAACAACCTACCAGAACTTTTAGAGTCCGAACAATTCACGGTAATGAATAACACTGATGATTCCGCGCAGTTAACTATTGAGAAAAACATTAAAAAAAGGGATGTGCCAGGCGGTCATAATGAAGGAAAGTTTCGTTTTGGATTTTCTTTTAAATTTCGAATCGAACCATTCTTGCCTCATTTTCATGCCACAACTGTTTTCACTCAGTAAAAAAAAAGAACAAGAAAAAAGGACACAACAGCCGCTTTGAAAATGCGAGAGTCGTATAACACAATCATTCTTGATCAATTGCTGATTGCAATTGAGGTGGGTATTCAGATGTACCAAAAACGCAAAACATTCGCTTTGTAACCAAT